CTCATAACCCTTTGAGACCATCAGTTTAGACAGTTTTCAGTCCACCTCACTGTCCATATATCTAAGCTGTACTTCATCAGTTTGTCTATGAGGATGCTAAGGGAAATAGTGTCAAAAGACTTCCTCTTGAAGTCAAGACAAATAACCACTGCTTTTCCCCCATCCACCAAGTCTGTCATCTCATCATAGACAGTCATCATGTTGATCAGGCATAACTTCCCCTTTCACTCATGCTGACCACTCCCAATCACTTTCTTGTCCTTACTATGCTTCAAAATAATTTCCAGGAGGACTTGTTCCATCACTTTCCCAGAGACTAAGGTGAGTCTGACACCTTGTAGTTCCCCAGGTCCTCCTTCTTGCCCTCCTTGAAGGTAGAAGTGACACTTGTTCCTCAGAAGGAACCTCAGGAACCTCGCCCAGTTTCCATGACCTTTCAATGATAATCAAGGATGGCCTTGCAATGACATCCACCAGTCCCCTCAGTACTCATGGGTGCACTCCATCAGGTCACTAGGACTTGTGCATGTCCAGTTTGTTTAAATGTTCCTTAATCTGATTCTCCTTCACTGAGGGCAAGTCATCCTTGCTCCAGAACTTCCCTCTGATTGCAGAGGCCTTCAGTTACTGAGGGTTGGTCTTACGAGTAAGGACTGAAGTAAAGAAGGTGATGAGTACCTTGGCCTTTTCCGTGCCTTTTGTCAACAAGTCCTCTGTCCCAGCAGGGAGCAGCCAACCCACATTCTGCAGCAAGTCCATATTTTACTTAGTCTTTCTTTTGCTGCTGATATTCCTGTAGAAGCTCTTCTTGTTGTCCTTCATATTCCTCCCTAGATTCAACTCCAAGTGGGCTTTGGCTTTTCTAAATGTGTTTCTACATGCTCGTACAGTGTCTCTATATTCCTCCCACATCACTTGTCCTTGCTTCCACCTCTTGTACACTTACCATTTAAATTAAGAATTTTATCAGGTATCTTCATCACCTGAAGACAGAGATTCCTGTCTTGATTCTGATACAATGCCATAAATGTATGTAGAAAGGACAATGCATTCTTACAATGCTGAAACCATCTCTTGAGAGAAAGACTAATTTGTGATACATAACTTTCAACGTAAGAATGAGTTTATATTACACCCTTCCTAAAAGTTCCATTCACTTTATTTGTTTATTCTTCTGAGCTCTTTTATTAAACTACTGTTTATTTACTCTTGAGTGGTTCAGAGCTCATAGAATAACTAATAGAAATCTCAAAATTGCTCTTGGCATCTTCATATCAAAATGGATGGTTGCCAGCACAGTAATAGAGCATAGCATTTCTCTTCACAAATGTGCTGCCATTGAAACTAATGAAAATGTTGATACTAAGTACCCTCACTAATCTTTAAAATTATTTTAGGCAAGACACACTTTCTTAAATAATTTAAAGAAGAAAAAGTTCAGTATGAGGAGACTCATACTGACTCTTTAACTCAAGCTGATTAACAACCTTATCTGAAAGAGGTGAAAAAAAACGTTTGAGACCTATGGAGGTATCCTACATCTTTGGCTCGTCTCTGCCATTTCTGTCATGATGTTTGAGAATGAGAGCTGAACCGAGTATACTCTAGGGAAAAATAGTTAATAAACAAAATGAAGCAAGTAATGTATTAATCTATAAACAGAGAAGTTGATCTAAATGCAGTGTCTAATGTTTCTATTGGGACATCTTGTAGGGTAAACATAGGAAGTGGCTGTACATTTCCCTTTTATGCCTGGCATTTCCCTTTTATGCCAGGAACATTGGAAGGACTAATTACATTGTAACATTAAAGGAAGCAAATACTTTGGTACTGTCACTTCCTCTACATGATGCTCTTAGCTACTTTCTCAAAATGGAGTTTCCTATTCCTATTCTACTGCGTCTAATTACTATTGTATCTAAGCCTAATATCATTTATTTTAGTGCATAAAGAATAAGGTCTGAGGAAAGGAATTGGTCTAAATGCCATTTATCTCAACCTAGGTCATAGTCAGAAGGAAGCTGTCTTGTCCTCTTGATAGAGACAAGGGAACACAAATGTACCAAAGAGGCAGACAAAGCACAGCTGAAAATTATATGAAATCATATATGTGATGCTAGAGGAGTGTACAACAGTACCAAAAATAGAGTATCTGTAGAAAACAAGGGGATATATGTAGTAGAAAAATGATCTTGTATTTCACACGTACTTTCCACCCATGGGGTCAGTCATAGAAAGATCCTTCATGCTGCTGGTTACTGTGGTGACAAGAACGGCCTAAGAGCCTACTTAGGACAGAAGTGATGTACTGTCTAACCCATTACTCAAGGCAGTGGGATACTATCAGATAAAAACCTTAGTTCAAGAAACCTGTGATTGAAGACACCCTCTATAGCTTAGAGGTACCAAAGATCAATTCTTTTTAAGGCAGGAAAGACTGAGTGGGATGCATTTCAGCTAATAATGAGCAGACTTATGTATGCATTTTAATTTTAGTTTTTGATACTTCCAAAATTCTTTAAAAAATATCATCACTATGGAGAAATTAATCACTTTGAAGCAGGCTTACCTGAGGCCAATATAATGAAGCAACGTTTTACAATTTATAATATTTTCAAAAAGCAAATGTGAAAAGCATCCATTCCAGTATATGAAACTTGATTTCATTTTCAGAACACTCGTGTGTGTCAGATAGGTCTCTGCAAACTGAGACAAAGAGTTTACAAAAAGAGAAAGATGGACAACCTTGCACAAAGACCTGTTCTAAAAATCTAAAACCCAAAGGGCTTACTGCTTTGAGCTATAAATGGAAGGAAGTGGGAAGGAGAAGATTCACAGAACAATGCATACACAACTTAACGACTGTCAGACTGCTCCAGCTTGCTCTGTGTGCGTGTGTGTGTGTGTAAAATCTAAGAATCAGGGAATTACCCAGGAATTTTTGAATTCAAGTTCTGACAGGGCTGGACAGCTAATAAGGACTTAGGCACTTAGCTATGGAATAAGCAGGAGGTGTGAGGATCTGACTTTTATACTAAATAATAGAATCATAGAACAGTTTGGGTTGGAAGGGACCTTTAAAGGCCATCTAGTAGAACCCCCCCTGCAATGAGCAGGGACATCTTCAACTAGATCAGGTTGCTCAGAGCCCTGTCCAACCTGACCTTGAAGGTTTCCAGGGATGGGGCATCTACCACCTCTCTGGGCAACCCGTTCCAGTGTTTCACCACCCTCATCGTAAAAATTTTTTTCCTTATATCTAGTCTGAATCTGCCCTCTTTTAGTGTAAAACCATTACCCCTTGTCCTATCACAACAGGCCCTGCTAAAAAGTCTGTCCCCATCTTTCTTATAAGCTCCCTTTAAGTACTGAAAGGCTGCCATAAGGTCTCCCCGCAGCCTTCTCTTCTCCAGGCTGAACAACCCCAACTCTCTCAGCCTCTCCTCATAGCAGAGGTGCTCCATCCCTCTGATCATTTTTCTCCTCTGGACCCGCTCCAACAGGTCCATGTCTTTCCTGTGCTGAGGGCTGCAGAGCTGGACTCAGTACTCCAGGTGGGGGTCTCAAAAATATATATTCAAAATATATAAATATAAATCTGTGTTCAGGTGGAGTACACACAAGCAACATATCCACCTGAAGAATTGGGAAAACAAGCTTCTCCCATTTTATAGAGGTGTTCTAATAAAAAATACATAGAGATTCTGAGGCTCCTGTGTTCTTTTAGTAAACAACTGGAGCAGACAGGTTAGCTAGACATAAGAATATATTTTTCAGTATATAAGATAATCTTACACTTGAAAATTAATTTCCTAGAGATTGCCACAGAGATATATTTAAGAAACACTTCTTTTTCAACACTAGGAAAACATCACTATATAGCAAGCAGTGACAAATGGTGACCCCAAACACCGTATTAATAGATCCCAAAAGTGTTGAAACAGAACACTTGGAAAGAAAAGAAATATTAAATTAGCATTTTCAATATAATTTTTTCTGCAACGTCTCACTGTATTTATTTCATCACCACCTAGCATGACAAAACAAACAGGATTCAAGAGCTATGAAATATTTCTTTCTGTAAACTAGCCTAAGGCAGTTTCTCTGCCTGTGCTAGCAATTGTGCTAATGATACAGTAACAGCTTTAGAATAATCCCCTTCACCCTCAGAAACACCAACAATCTTGCATAAGCAGAAGAGAGAGGATCTCAAAGTTCTTCCTTAACCAGTTGTAGGCAAGAGACAAGACACTGCACTCGATTGTCTTGTATCTAGTGGACACATCATTCTGTCAATGATAACAGCATCACTTAACAAGAACAGCAGCAGCACAGGCAGTATGCATTGCCATAAAACAAGCCTTTCCATTAGCTAGTACACATCAAAAATCAAATTAAGGCTACTGATGATCTAAATTCAGTAAAATATACATCTATTTAAATGAATTACTGTGATCCAGTAATGGGATTCTTTGACAGGTGGAACTGATGCTGATTAAAGTAATCAAGTTTTGTTCATCGACCTTAGCTCTAATAGCAAAGACATATTGTCAGAGATCATGGATTCTGTACGACATAAACATAGCATGGTGCAACCGTATTTTTACTGATTTTAACCATAAGATTGTCTGTCTAGTCACCAAGTCACTATTTTTAAAGCTAGGCAGGTATAAAAATCTCACTGGTAAATATTTAATTGATTCTTTATGCAACACATAGAAAACAATACAAAAATAAAATTGATCAGCTTTTCAAAGGACATCATCTTCTGCTCCTCTGAATGTAAAAAATACTAGTTACATATTTCACCCCCAGTTTCTTCCCCCTCATACTAGCTTTATGCCAGAATAATCTCACAGTCTTTGAGTTACTTCTGATATACAGAAACCCCATCTACTTACAAAAGTCATCTTTAGTTATGTTCTATTGCTTGTAAATAATTCAGAATATTTTTAAGGCAATACATGGCATAGGGCAGTTCTTTAGAAGACTTCAGTTACCTGGGTAATACCTAGCGAGGCCAGTTGCACTACCGAAAACTTGCCATAATAAAGTGGGGTCTTCTTCTCTGTTCCGCTTGAATACATCATCCAATGCTGCAGTCCAATTGAGTTCATTTAACACTATCGTTGCTGTGAAAGGCAAAACATATTTGGTATTACAAAGTTACATCCTAACACAAGCAGCAATGACTACAAAAAGCAAACTGAACTATTGCAGAAGGTAATAACATTTCATTTAACTAAACAACAAAGTAAATTTAACACGCTGCTCCTCCTTGGGAATTTTCTTTAAGTTCCTCATGCTTCCTTCTTCCCATTGCATTATTTGTATGCAATAACTACTGGCTTATTTGCATCGTCATTATCTCCTACAAATACTTTGTTTCTGAGATGTCACTCTACTGGCACTTCCCAGCTATAGAAAAGTAAATGCAAGCCTATAAAGTTGATGCTGCTACTAATCACAGCACACTGCATAAGAAAGACTAGAAAGTCATCAACAAAAATAGGTGATAAACATAACAAAAATTTCCCTTTCCAAATGGATGCTGTAAGGGGATTATATGGGAAAAAGATAATGATGAGTTATTTGAATTGGGACATTAAGCTGGGACCACATGCATGATAGTACTCATTATTGCACACTAACAAGATCTTAATGTTCATAGATGCGATCACTTACAAAAAGATCAGCAGTGTGGACATTAATATTTATGAATTGAGTCGGTTCCACAATGAACTTAAAATACAAGAAAATTCACATTTCAGCTAAACACTATGTGGCCAGTTATACAGAAACTTATATTTGCAAAGTTGTCCTGTACCAATGCTTGTTTTAATCAATCAAATACATAATATATTAACATGTTCTGTGCCTTTTTCAAAAAAAGATACTTTGGGAGACTTACTCTAAAATTGATGAACACTGCTACAGTAATAGTCATTTGACTATATTCAGTAGTCAGTGAAATTTTATTGTAATACAGAATACAATATGATATAACTTATGATAAATTACGCTTTTCACCTCATTTAATCAGCTGTAAATATCTCATTAATTCCCCAATCTTACATGCCCCCCCCCCCCCCCGAAATCTTAATCATGTTAGGCAATAGCAGGTATTCAGTTAATTAGAAAGAGCAAGGGCTTTTTCTTGATTTGGTCACTAATTCTTTCTTTTGTGTTGCCTAATGGCATTGTAAGAAATGTTTCTAAAACTGAAACACCTAGATTAGCAAGCCAAAAGTGGAACAGGAACTAGATGGACAAAAAAAAAATCAAAACAGTTAAAGATGTAGGTATAAATCCTATGAAAGTCAACACTGTAATACAGATCCTGCGTGCACTATGGTAGTGCACACAGGGAAGAAAATTCAGCTTCTCTTGCAAATGAGCAAGTCAAGCTGAAATAAAAAGAGTTCACATTTAAGGCACGTGAGCGGCATCACAGTACAAAATTTGGTATGTAGGTCTATATTCTAGCCCTCTGCTCCATGAAAAAAAGAAACAATAAAAATAAGGACAGGTTGAAAGTTAACATTTGACAGCCCATTTCCAAAGTGAGGTTGCTAACTGGTACTAGAGAAATGAGATCACAACATTAAATTTTATAGGTTTGTTTTTAAAGGTTAAGGAGAAATTTGCTACACCATGTGTTTGGCAGAAAGGTTTATCTGTTTTTTTCAAAGTCGTTTTAAGATAATATTACTCTCTCAAGATACAGCTTTTTATAGAAATGTCAAATTAAATTTCTAACTCTTGAGATTCCCTGTAAGCAACAAGCTCATGCTATATACCTGTCTCTCTGTCAAGTAGATAGTTATAAATATATATGTTTACTCAAGAAAGAGGAATAATTCCCTGAGGCACCATGAGAAGTTTATTATCATTTTAAAATGGTTGCTGTTCAATTATTTCTTTTAGATCCAGTGTGATCAATTGTGTTATTAAGTATTATGTACAGACTTTCTAAACTTGACTTTGTTTCAGATCTTACTTCCAGAAGTGGCTCCATGAAGTCATTAGAAGCTCTGTCCTTTACTTACTCAGACAAGAATTTCCTTTCTTGCTTGAATTTTTATTTTTTCATGTTACCTTTTCCTCATCTGATGTACAGAGTACTTGGCCCAGTGGAAGCCTATGCCAATGGTTCCTGGTGGCATTTAGGGCACTGGAGCTGTGGACACTTATTTACGGCACATGGGAGACGACAGTTCTTACCCCTTTGCCAACTGACAAAGCATTTAGCTGTCAGGATCCTCTATGAATTCCCAAGGCCCATAATGATATAAACCAATGCATTTCTTTGGCCTTATGACCTGACTTAAAATTGCTGCAGCCTCTACCCCCAAATCTGCCAGTGACTTTACCACCCTGGTCAGACCACTGACATTCCTATTCAGCAAAATATTTAATTAGGAAAAAAATATTTTTAAGTTAATCATGCTCATAAATGCTTTTCTAAATCAGTGGCTATGCACACCATGAAGAAAAACTCTTCACATATGAAATGTGGCACAATATTTCTAAAGAGAAGATTTCCTTCAGACAGTAAGCTTACTAACAAATAAATTATATTCAGTAAAGACACCTTAAACATATTACTACATTTACAAATACTGTTGCAAAAAGTGTCAGTGTAATATCATCCAAAAATGTATTGCAAAGAGTTACATATATATATATTTGAACCTATACGTTTACACACATACACACCTGCACATACACATTCATATATATGTAAATATTTATTAAAAATACATGCACATACAAAGGAGAAACTAAGGAGGCAATTACAAATAGTAAAATAACTAAGTACTGAAGTACTGAATGGATATATTGGACTTAATAATTTCAACGTTTTATTAGACTTGTTGAGACTAGGCTATAAAGCAAGAAATATAGCTTACTAGTTCTTATTTGTAATATTTGTGGAGAAGTGATGCTTTATAGTCAGAGTCAACAGTTTTATGATCCTATTTATGTCCCACTTTCCCCTTCCTCCTCCTCCTCTACAACTGTCTCCCAGAGACAAACACAGCACCCTAAAAAAATCCAGGAACTTTCAGTGTGTGGGGGGAAACCCCAACACATGAAGTTGGAATTAAAAAAAAAAAAAATGTGGAATTCAAGATGAGCAACAAGAACAGAGCATCCAAACAGAAGTAAAATGAAATAAATCTTGGAAGAGCTACCAGCAGTATGTAACACATCTGTTCTCAGGTACTGAAAAACGTATCTTCCTGCACTACAGAAATTCATAATTAAGTACCCAGGTCTCATTTCAGAAATACATTTTAACAGATGTAACAGATTTACACACATGTAACTTCAACATATATCACTTCCCTCTTAATTCACTTTCTCATTATGACAACAAGAATTTGTGCTTGGAACAGACACACAGAGTTCATTTGGTGGGACTGATATGTAAACAGCTGATTGTACAATCTTTAAAACAATTACTCCTGGAGCAGTTTGCTATCTGTAATTCAAACTTGCTCCCTTCATTCAGGGTCTTTTGTTTGTTTGTTTGTTTTCCTTCTATATACAAGTAGACTTGAAGAGAATGCACTCACATTTGTGTTAACTAATCCATTAATCAGTAAATAAGGAAAAGGGTGCTGGGAATTTTAGCTTTAATATTTTTTTTTTCCCTTAGTGCTTTTCCACAACTTATATTACTCTTTTATTTCTGCTTATAATAATAAAACCTGGAATAACCTATAAGAATAAAACCTGGACTGCAAAAGGCAAGCTGTAAATCAAGTCCCCTACTTTTTCTTTTTTAATGCAATACCTCTGGTAATAGGCAATTTCGAACCAATACCTCTAGATTCTGGTTTAAAGCCTACAGCAATGGATTTGAAACTTGCCAACCAAAGAAAAGCAAGCAAAACCTCTCATAAACAGCAACAAAACTATTCTTCAAATGGTTCCTACTAAAATATCATGATTCTCAATTTGCACATAGAAATCAATGCAGTGCTAGTTTCATTAGCTCACAGTAGAGACCATGGCACCTGTCAGAATACCCTAATTTGGGAGACATGGATTTATATTTTCATGAATATAGTGAGAATTTCATTTATTTTTCTGTTATTAAAAAATGCATTTTACTGAAATAAAACGTTTAGAGGTGTTATAGCCACACGTACTGAGATGCTGTATATCCTGGAAAAATTGCCTTTCTTTTTGAGTTCACTTCCATACAGGAAAGAGCTTTTGACTGATAATTGGCAGAAAATCTAGTTGGAGACAACCCTCCAATAAGCTTATTTCCAATTTTGCTAAAAGAAGTCTTTGAAGATTACTACTTCAAAGTACTTCAACTGCTACCTTTCACTTGATATGGGCAAGATGAAAAAATAAAATTTATCATCACACAATAGGAAACATCATTCTTGCTGGCTAATTCCACTGAACTCCATCCACCTTTTCCTTTTTTCCCTGTTCTTTATGACATGAGGTTTAGGGGTCTTGACAAGGAATGGATTCAATTTTCCTCTGCAAATGCAATCAATAAAAAATAGAGAGCACTACCATGCTCTCTTTAAAAGAACTGGAATACACTTCTGATGATTTATTCAATGTATAGGCCCTGGCCTGCATACAAGGCAGAGTACAACTTTATTTGAAAAACCTGAGAGCTATTTGCTATATCTGAAAAGATGCCGGCTGCTGTCCCCTGATGCGGGAGCTGCACATACGCTGGACAGAACAGAAGGGAGCTCCTCGGCAGGTCATTAATCTTCTTTTAGTGTGTGGAATGTGTTACACTTCCATATCCCTGTTTAATGAAGTTGACTCATTGATTTCTTTAATGATAACACTGACTAGTTATTGTTAGGAATGAAATATATATTTGCAATCAAATATTACAGTGTTTAAAAGTGGCCACAGAGGGACAATACATTTGCAAGTGCATATTTTTGTATATATGAGTGCAGACACAGACGCTTCCACCTGTAGCCTTGCTAATCAGATATTATAGAAACGCTGCTGAAGGTATAAACCAGTCTTCTTTACGACTTACGTGTTTCACTAATTTTTTCAATATTACATTCCTTCCAGCTTATGTTAAATCGCATAGAATGTTACACACTCTCAACTGCCATTGGAAAGTTGT